AGTAAATAAAGAGAGAGAAATCTTTTTAAAGAATTGAAGTAATAATTTTTGACAATACAAAAGGGTAAATTATGGCAAGAAAAAAATTTCTCCTTTGAAACCACAAATGTGATAAGTATTTTAAAACAAACCATTTTCTTCAAATATGACAAGTATTACGGAGGTAGTAATCTTAGAGCAATTAAGTTATGGAAAGTTTGAGCTTTTTAATTAAGATGAATATAAATGTGATATACTCCGTAATGTGATATTAATTGTAGCTATTTTACAATAATGTATGAATGAGGTGGCAAGCAAATTCCCGAATTAAGGTGAAAACATAAGATTCGTTCGAGAAGCACACTTTATTAAAGGAGTAAAGCACATTTAGTTTTTTACCATTAAAAAGAAATTATACTTATTATTTTCTTGAGTTTAATGGAATAGATTGTTGAGAATTCAGCGGTTAATGTTTAAATTCTCGATTTTTTTTTTTTTTTTTAATAGAGTAGCAAGGGTAAATGTGGTAATTAGGACAATTCACCTTTAAAATTATTAGTTTTTTCAAATGGTGTTGCATGTTATTTAGTTATTCCATGTACATGCATTACATATTTATTATTAAAAATCATCAAATTTTGAATAAATTAACAAAGCAATAGGTACAAAAGAAACATTATTTTATTTCAAGCATAATTACAAATAGAAAAAAATTTTAAAAATGAAGTTATTATGATGAGTAAAATGAAGTATAGATGATTTTTTAATTGTTTTTTGGCATCTTAAAACAAAAACATTGAATTAGTAGTGCAATATATTGAAAAATTCCAGATAATATATATATATATATAACTAAATTACAATAATAAATTATCTTAAAAGTCATATTGAACCCTAACATATTTTTTGTCACTTTAAGTTTTCAATATTATTAGGATCCCTATTTATTTTTTAATATTATAAATTTTAATTGAGGTTAAATTTCCCTCCCTTTATATTAGTTATAATTAAAATGATTTCAATCCATATAAGTTTTATACTTACTAACATAAACAAATAATTTAATTTCAAATAACAAAAACTAAATATATATTATTATTTTCATATATAAATATATAAAAAAATATACAATTTATTAATAAAAATAATATTATTTATTAACTTTTGGTAATGATACTTTATATAATATGTTAACATAAATATAATTTTCTTCTTGTTAAAAAGGAAGTGTAGATAACTATTATATTTGTACATAATATTTACGGTATTATACATTTGCATTATACTATTTATATTAATAATAAATTGATAAAAAACTATAACCCAATTATAATGTAAAGTAAAACTCATAAAACCATTAGTTATTATTAATATTTATAGTCAAAAACCTAAAAATTTCCAGGGAAAAAAATAAAGTATTAAAATCTAAAATAAGTTTATTAAAAAATAATTTTATTGTTTATACCTCCGAAAAGCTTAAATAATTTTCTTGAAAGAATACTTCCTAGAAAGTTACATTCTTGAGAAGAATTTCAAAAAAATAAATTTTCATTAAATCAAATGAGGACCTTTAAAAAAGAAAAAACAATTAATATTTATTGTATTTAATATAAATAATTCATAAAAAAATCTGAAATTTTTTATATAAATAACTTATTTTATTTTAATTAATTTGAACACTTATTTCTTGTGATATTGAACTATATCAATTGGAATTTCTTTGTAAAAAATGACATATCATTTGAAGTGCAATTATCTCTATAATATATTATATTTATCATGCTTTTTGGCTCCCATAATTTATTTATATGAATTTAACCACCTAAAAAAAAAAATATCACTAATGTAATAAAAGAATAATTTCTAAATTGAGATCTTTGTACAGGATTATAAACCAACCACCCATATCTATTTCTCCATTTATCAAACCGTCCCAAACTTTTATTGTCAGCGTAATTAATTATTAACTTTCCTTATTTCAAACATTTTCAGTTCATTATTAATCCTTTTCTTAAATACGATTTCCACATGCTAATATTTCTTCACAATATACAATATATATATATATATATATATATACTAGATATATTAATATAATATATATATATATATATTATATATATAATTATATATTAGTCTTTTTATGACAGCAAGTATATATTTTCAATTTGAACAGCATTGAAAGAATTCCACCGTTCCAAACCTCTTTACCGGAGCTAATTCAAAAAAAGTTTTTATGACCAATTGGAAAAAATTACTCGTTTATAATAAATCTTGATTTGGACTCGACAGAAAAAAAATAATTTTATATTATTATTTTATAATAAACATTTTGAAAATGTCTAAGTTTAAATTTAATAAATTACAAAATCATTATGTGATATATATATAATTCATTCTTTTTTCAATGTTTCAACTTGATTAAAAACACTGCCCAATAGTTAATTTCCTTTATAATTTTTCTAAAAGCTTTGGGTACTAGAAAAAATACTTCCAACTGAACAAAAATATTATTATTTACATTTGATAATTTTATACAGAGCACAAGGCGATATTATATGTCTATATAGCGGTTGAGTTCAAATTTGATAAAAAAAAACTTTCAAAAATCAAACCTGACTCGAAATTGAATCGAATTTTGATTTTATACTCGAGGTTGGCTCGAACAGGAATCTTTGATTTTAAAATTTTAAACTCGAACTCAACTTCGAACAGATCCTTTGACATATCGAGCTTCACTTGATTTGTCCACTATTTTTTTAAAAAAAAGTTCATTTTATTAATAATAAAAATAAAACTCGAACAAAATTTGAAGTCTCAAATTATTGTGGCTTGGACTTTGCAGCTTGAACTTAATAAATTATTTTTTAAAAATATATTATTCGTATAATTTTATTTTACTGCAAAGACCCTTTGTGAGCCACTAATTCAAATACGTATTACTACTAATTATTAATGTACAAAAAGTTTCACATCAAGAAGTTTCAAATTGAAACAAAATGGCCATAGTTATTTTAGAACAGAGGCTTCTTTCCATCAAACATCCCAGCAAATGATCGAAAACTTCCGACCTCCTGCATCTCGCAAGACCAGAAGCATGTATTCGTTGGGTATCCATTAATCTAATACCTGCTATCTGAGAAGCTGTCTCCCATTCCCAGGCTTGAAATTAACATACATATCTTCATAATAAACAGCAGCTGCGCAACAGGAAACCTGCCACCATTTACAAAATTAGTACAACCAGCCAAAGATTAAACAGTTGAAGTCGATGTTTTTTCATTTTGAAAAATTAAAAATGGGATCCAAAACTATGTTTTAGTCGTCATATTCTTGCATTTTTCAGTTCTATCAAGAAAATAAAATTTAAGAAGGTGAGCATTCCAGCCATTTTAGCAAAGTTGAGATTTTTTATAGTGGAAAGGAATCCATGGTTAAAAAATGACTCGAGGAAGATTAGCCTGGCATATAGAAAAAGAGTACACCTTGTTATCATTCAGCATGCTGTGTCATAGAAAGGTCCAACTTCAGCCAAAAGCAGCATCTTAAAACTTTCTCAGGTCAAAGTCATCAGTAACACCATGGAACAACCATCGCAGAAGGGAAAAAGATCCCCAGATACCATAACGTAAAACGCAAACTGATGTCTTGTATAGAATAACATGCAGAATGAGATTTCTAATAAATCGTCCAGGAAGAAAGAAAACGAAAAGTTCTATTCTCATTTAGATTAGGTTAGAGTGTGGCATTTAAAAACATATCGTCGATCAGTCTATAAACACAGTATCATGGGAAAATTAGGTGTCTTTTTTTAAAGGACTCTGTCCAGAATTTATAACTGCAGGATAATCTAATCATGATTAAATGGCTGAAGGAGCAGAAGAACATTGAATAAACAGAAAGCTTTCAAAAATTTATTTCACAACAAATGAATCATGTTTCTGTTTACTCAATAGGAATTACTCATCACTATCAAACATTCTCATGACGTTAGGAACACTATTTCATTATCCGTTTCAATAATTTTTTTCCACACTTCCACCCATCTTTTCACATAAAAAAGATTACTGTTTCTGTTTTACACTCAAAAGAAACTGAGAAAAAGTTCTCAAAAAAAAAAAAAAAAAAAAAATCCACAATATGTCTGACTAATGTCGGTCAGCTTCCCAAAAAAAAAAAACAATCCGCCATGCTCAACATGTGCAAACAAAGTGTGAATTGAAAAACCAATGACTTCAATAAATTTAATAACTGCATATACATTCAGGAAGATACTGCAACCACATGGTAAATTAGGCCATGTACTTATTTTTCCCAAAATTTACCCTGCACTTGATATTGCTAACTTCAAGTGACTGAATGTAGATATTATGTTTGCTTGATTTTTCCTCAAAATACAATGTTTAAAAAACTTATACAAACCTCCCCAGTGAAATATACTTACGACCTTTCTTTCGCAGCCTTGATATGCATTCAAATTTACCATTATTTTCTGCCAAATTCTGTATGCTGACCAGCGTGACCTGAAAGAACCCTTGAAAACCAAAAAAATAAAAATATTTAGTAGGTTGAGCTTGAGAAAAGTTCTCAATAAAACCAAAACTTTAGGAGTTCCCTCTGTACAATCAACATTAGATTGCTTGGATTTCAATAACACAAGCATTGTGCGCTTTCATAACAGTGACAAAATTCTTTTCCACTATATACAAATTGTAAAACAAGCTCCCATCAATTCAGAAAGTAATACTGTAGAGAGAATTATTGAAAATCTACCTGCAGTATATGGGTTCATGCAGGAGAGCGTAAGTGGATTTGAATCAAAATCCAAACCAATTTTCAAACTGCAACATAATACATTGCTTAAAATTCACTCTGAAAAAGCCTTGCATCAGGGATCAAGCAAAAACAACAACCATAGTCTTACTGCTTTTAAAAAGTTAGCTGCTGATTTCCATTTTCTTTGATCCTGGAACTATAATGGGATCCCACCACCCTCTCAAACCTGGGAAGGTAGAAGAAAAGGAAAGAAATGTAAAAATAAACAGTTGACAAGAAAAATGTTAAGTTGGAGATGAAAAAATGCATGCTGATGCCTTACATATAGTGAAACGTTCAAAACCTGCACTGGATCCTAAACCAGAAAGACAAGGTTTGCAGTCCTCTTGGAGTTAAGATTCCTCCAGATGGAAGAAGCAACCTTAACAAGTGAAAAAGAGAGGGAAATTGCGTTCAGCGAAAGGAAATTAGAAAAAAAATATCCAGAATATGCAAGATCCTCACCCCGCCTCCTTCAGATTCAGCCAAATAGTTCACAAACTCACGAACAATTTCAGCATCCTGAGGAAACTCTTGTAGTACTTTTCATTCTGGCGAAATAACCTGTTCACAGGCATGCCCTATAGACAATATCTGCAGTGCATCCATTTACTTATGGATTCCTCCAGTTAGAAGAACTTGTTTTAGTCCTTTGGGTGCCAAAACTCAAATAGGTTACAGCAGAAAAGCCGCCATAGCTCTTGAAAAGTTGATAGACAGAGAGAACTATCAATAATTAACCAGTCAAAAGGATTCCTTGAAACATAAATTGGAAAAAATAACGGAGCGAATAAAAAAAAGGAAGCATATGGCAGCAAGAGCAAGAATTGAAGAAGATCAATTGATAATATATCTAAAGGAATATCACTATTATAACATCCACAGAGGGAAAGTAAAACCAAGAAAGGTTAGTATCTTAGTACCTGGCCTAAAAACCGTCCAAGGTCAGCATTCAGGAACAAGTCGAACTCGAATAAACTCAGCATCATTCACTATATTTGTCAGCCCGAAAGTATTTCAAGTATCAGCCAGCCCTCTCTGGAGAATCCAGTTGCAACATTGAAGATGTTGTCAAAGGAGTTGATAAGGCCTGTTCCTCGCTGCAAGAGAATAATTAGCAGTTGGCAATAGATTATTGAAATAGGAAGTCAAATTTCAGTTAGAAATACATATGAGGTAAAGTGTCCACAATCCATGCCTGATCCATGGAAAATAACACGGAATTCTTCACATGCTTTATGTAACCCATCCACTGGGCTTCAGTTTGGACGTGGGCATTCAAAGCCAGGTCCACCTTGTTAGAAATATATAGGTAAGGCAGTGATTGTTCTTCTTTCCCAAAACTTGCGAACAAACAGTTTGGATCAGCCAACCAAAATTATAATAGAAGAAAAGCAGTACAAAATTCCTTTTTTTTTTATCTTTTTTTTTATTTTTTTTTTGGAGGGGGGGGGGGGGTGTTTAATCAGCTTCCAATTTATTATAGCTATAATCTAATCTAAGAAATAATTCAAGAAATTCACATAACTGCTCTGATTTCAACGGTTAGATTTCATTGGTTAGACTGACAGAATAATACGACAGCACAAAAGATTTCAAAATAGTAAACTTTCGATAGAAATCATCTATAACCTAGAGACAATTTTAGCCTATTATGCAGTGCTGCTTGTTGTGAAATTGTGGCAGCCATCTTAATTCTTAAGCTCGTGCATTCTTTGTGGAAAACAAATATCAAGAAACATTATAGCATCAATTTCGATATTAAACATCAAGTAAAAATAAGAGGCAATTGGCATGTATAATACATTAGCCAAACTCCAAATTACTACTAAAACAAAGACAAAGTTTTTGTTAATCACTAACGCCAATTAGCAAATGAATTCGTGGATTGCAGTTGTGTTTCCATATTGGGGAAGGTAGGTGTCAATAATAGACCAATGAATTCCATACTTAAAGACCAGATTTTTAAATGTACTCTGCTAATCATGATAAGTTTTTCAATCGGAATTCTACAACAATTATCAAATAATGCAAGTTGATTACGATTTAAAAGACAAACAATCTAAACCAATCTTTATTCTCCTCCATTTCTGTTAGCTACAGAGAAAATGCAAGTAACCCTAAAAATGTTGAAACATTCATGTGTTGTTCTTACTCAACTCAAGTGTAAGAAGTATATTGGTTTTAGTTGACTTTAATACTTGACTTACTGAAAACCTAAAATTAGCTTGAAGGTGACTTGATAACAAAACAAAATCAAATCAAAGTCAATCAACAATCAAGAATTTCGGCATATATTGAATTTGAGATAGTACCAGTGACGACTTCGCGAGCGAAAATGGAGATCTTAGTACCATTACGATCAGCGGAATAATCTAGAGGAACAGGAATACGATGGTTCCGCAAGCCGTAGGTTCTGGAACAGAATACCAAGTTCCGACCGAACGTGCTCCGGCAGGGAATTGGAGGCAGCTAGTCATTTGCTTTGGCCAATTGCCAGCTAATGTACGGAGGTCGCTCCAGCAATGAATAGAAGTGGACAAGTTTGGAGACTGAAAGTGTGAAACTGCGCAGGAGATAAGAGCGAGGAGCAGGGAAAAAATGATGAGTGGCTTTATTCAAAGGAGGGCGGGCGCGGGTAAGTCTGGCAAGCATTTTTGGGGAAGTGTGAAGTTATCTTTGTGAAGCGTTTTTGTCGGAAGTTGACACGTGTGATATTCTTCTAAATTTTCCCTAAGGGGAGCCTACGTTTCTTTGATTCATTTTTTTTGCCCTTTTTGGTTTTTTACTCTTACTCTGTTTGCTTCTTCTTCGACCCGTCTCGTCTTCTTCTTGCATTTATTGTTGTTGGGAATGCTCGTTTCTGCCATAAACTCATAGCTGTTGCAGTTTTGCAACTTGCAAATTACATCGTTCTCATTAAATCCTTTTAATTAATTAATTTCTGATTAAATTAAGGGCAATGTAAATAAGGAATTTATTCAAACTTAATTTTTCACTAATTTTTCTACAGGTAATTCATTTTATATGGCATAACTTTCACCTCCCCAATCCAAATCACAGCTAAAGAGCAATGGTGCCTAAAGAGATCTCTATTTTTGCTAAATTAACAAGTGTACACAAGAAATGAAAGACAATTAGTAAAAAATAAGACAGATTATTAGGTTTGCTCTTAACCGGATAAACTAAGGACATGAAGTCGCGACCCAAGGCGCGTAAAAACTCCAATCGCCGCACCGACCAAAAATCTATCCTGGACCTTTGTCCAACGGTTCCAATCCCACAATACCCTGCTGCTCCTATTCGGAATTCGAGCCAAAAACTGCCTTTCCGGCATTGCCACAACGGCCTCCGCGTATAGCACCACCGCCACTTTCTTAAATTGGGCCGGCCCCAAAATCAACTCCTCCCCCTCCTTGTTGAGCTGTTGACGAAGCGACGACTCCGCGAGAGCTGAGTCGATTGAGTCCCGAGGATGGCGGGAGACGGGACCCACTTGAGGATTAGGGGACTGTTTGTGAGAGGACGAGATGGTTGGCATAGATGTGATCGGAGGCTGTGGTGATTTGATAGGGCAAAAACACCTGGGAAAAGCGGTCCTGCGTTAGTGAAAGGCAGTGTGTGCTAGGCTGAATCACAGCAGAGTTAAACTCGCGGCGAGTCGGTGAGTACTATTTAAACCCGTTTAGACGGCTGACTATGCCCCATTATCTTCCACTTTTTTTCTCAGCTCTTAAAATTCTCCTTTTATTTGCTCATCGCAGTCTTCTGAGTTACGATTTCTTTGGATATTTTGGGCGATAACCCGGCAGGAGATGAAAGTTATTGGCCTCAGGACATGTTTGAAATTTACTTTTTAATCCTTTTGCCTCCGCTTCAACCTTTCAGCACTCTAAGCTTGTTTGGTAATAAAAAATTAAAATCTTCTTTTTTCCTCTCTCAATAATGTTTTCTTGCCATTGTCATTCATTCTGCCAAATTAGGGCTAGATTACGCCAATTAGGGCTAGATTACGCCAGGCAAATTTTGGCCTTAAACACAATCATATTTCCACTGGATACTAATTAAAAATATATGTAATCTTTCTGAGTTTACAAAAATTGTGAAACTCTTTGTGCCAGAATTTTCAAATCTGATTAAAAAAGGGCAGCCCGGTGCACGCAAACTCCGCATTGACGCACGCGCCTAAGAAGGATCCTACTAGCCAAAAACAAAGATAAACACAGCAATACAAGCAATGAGAGCTTAAGTTAGATATCTAATTCTAATTATTGAAGCAACCAAGATCTGTAGTCATTTTTCTGCAGTCTGATTCCTGCTTGCACTCTTTCGTCTCTCCTTGACCGGCAATAGACACAGTCAAAGCCAAGCAAATCAAGGAACAATCTGTTTGAGGATAGACCCACCACACTCGAAAACAAATTTCGGCCAAACAAACCCCAACCTAACGAAGGAGTATGAAACATGGCTAAACATTAGTCATTACTTGAATATTGTACTTAAACTGCATTAAAACATTTTTTATCAAATAAGTGTCCGTTACCATTCAAATGCCGCCGCTTGACATTCCGGTGACGCCATTATAGTTGCTGTGACGTGCATGGCGGTTATGCAGTCCAAACCATCATATACATTCCCTGACACATATAGCAAGATGATCCATTTTAGCCATTTCGCTAATCGTAGGAAAGGACGCAAAGACGTGTATATAAACATAAATGATGAGAGATTCTCGTAAATAGATATACAGGACCTCCCAAAATTAGCAGAGTTAAAGTAAAAATATCAAGCAGAAGCAGAGGAAGAACTGGAAAAGCCGTTGAAAACTAACCTCTCTTTGTGTTTGTTCTGGCGACCCAATGAATGTTTGGTGCCACAGCAGGAATGGAAGTCCAAATATAGGAAGAATGTGAGAAAAGCCAAGTATCAAATCATAAGAAGGATACGCTTGACTGAACCAAGGACGAATCATCAAACCTTGAAAACATAATGTGGATTCACCATATCACCTTGATTGGCCAATACACTGATTAGTCACCATTTAATGGCAACGATCATCACAATCACGTCAAATCCCCTCTATGCACAGACACACACTATTACCAAACTCACCCCGATTAAATGCAGAAACCATCTAACGGAGGCCATCAAAAGCACACCTGAAAAGTTGTAAAAACGGTTGTGCACAACTATAGAATGCATATATTCAATTAAAGCGACTTAATATTAAGATTTACTAACACTGCCACATAGCCAATGAACTTCCTTCGTTCTCCTTAGGGAATGCAGCTGCAAATCACGTTTAATCAAAGAAATCAACGGCACATCGGCTAGACTAGACAAGGCTTGGCCATAACATAAATCATCCCAGTAAATAACCGAGGCCATTCCTTGTTTACCCAGTCGACCCGTGGCGGCAAAAAATAGACATACTGCCAACAAGATTCCCACTCTGTGTGCATAGCAAAAGGATTCGAAATTCCAGGTCTTTAGCAGTCCCACTACTGACATCCTTCTTTCCATTCGCTTCTCCAGTCTCCACTATGCACCATAACCCTTGCCAAAGAAGAGCCTTTTATACACATGCAACCAAATCATCTACACAGGAAGAGGCGAACACTCTAATGAAATCTTCAAAACGTGCAAATATCAGAGAAACAGGATCTAAAACTTAAAGAGACCAAAAAATTCACTATGCCCAGACCAAATAATAAAGATATTAAAATTGGAGCTAAGGGATCCAATATAAAGACATAAGAGTTTGTTTGGAATTGAACTTATTGCTTTTCCGGAAAAACCAACCAATTTAGATGTTGGAAAATAGTAATTTAAGACTGTCATTCCACGCCCGTATTGAAGCGTCTTACTAATTTAACCCACATATATGAATAATTGTCGAGCCATCACTTCGTAATTTAATGATCTTCTGACTTACAACAATTGCAGAGATACCATGTCAAGTATCTTTCTATACAGACAGCGGTCAAACTAATCCTTACAATCGTCGTTAGGCATGGTTACTTGTACAACAACAAGAAGAATAAAGCACTCCAATACACGGATGCTAATGAACAATCAAGGATCCTTCTTGTGGTTGTGCACTGACAGTATAGATGGTTATTGGGAACCTCCCAGCACGCATGACTATATATGCCCACGGTGGCATATTAATTGGATCAAAGCTACACCTTATATCTCAAAGTTTTACTCGGCCTCCAGTTAAACTAAAATTGGTTATCCAAAGTGGTCAACTAACAACAGGTCTAGATATCTGTGCAGAGCCTCTGAACAGATCAGCAAGGTCAATAACCTATTAACTCTGAGGGATTTCTAACAATAATCTTTCGCGACTTCTGCCATGAGTCTAGCACCATTACAGAGCCACAGAAACTTTGGGAAAGATAATGTTTTTTATGCTTTCAGATTCCATCCCCCCAAATGCACTGCATATAGAGTATATTATTATAGCCATCTAAATGCTTCCGCATCTAAGATAACTGGAAGCTCCCACATTCACCCGCACAATTAAGTTACTTTGTTCTGTTACAAGTAACCATCGCATAACGAGATGAGACCACAGGATTGGCCCAATTATCAGACAAAAATCCATATTGGATGGGCCTGGGGCAATTTCCAGGCCAATCCGTATCGAAGGAGATTAACATACATAAATAAGGAAGTGGCAGGCCTCCTGCTTTTGACAGCCCTAGTTCAATGGTGAATCTGCAGAAGGAGATTAAGAGAAGAAAACAACTGCCTGCAACATGAATCTCTGAAAAAACAGTCAAGTATCACAAAAAACAACTTCAGCCACAAGTTTTCTGATCAGTTATCAGAAAATGCACTTGTGCAGTAAATATTCAAGGTGCAGATACATACTTCAAATAGAATCCTCCTTTTCATGATTGAATAGCGCAACTTGATAATGCCAGTTGTGAGCAACAGAAATTATGCCAACTTTTCCTTTCTTCCACTTGAGATACAAGGTTTAAAAAGAAACATATCAGACAAAAATAAAACTGTCAGCCCAAAAGCAAGCAAAGAGAAGAAACAATCGGACAAACATTCTTGAAACGTGATATTTATTACACCTTACAATATAACAACTATCTTGAAAATAAGCTGCCAATGCACGTATGCCACTATAATGTAGCCAAAATATTAACATCAACAGGCACAATCCCTCACGAATCTTCACGAAGAACGCACACTGAAAAATCCATGCGGCATCGTTATCCAGCCCTGAATCTAGCAAGGACATCATCGATAAAAAGATGATCATAACATTATCACAAGACCAGTGCCCATTCATCTTCAAATTACATTCAGTCCATTTGGAGCGCTCTTAGCTTCCAGAAACATTTGGATAGAACTTAAAAATAAAACATCAATTTGACTTTTGAAAGCCCAAGGCCAACAAGGGGTGGCAGCTCATTTTTATATAATAAAGCTTCCTTAGTTGCTTGACCATTCTCCTCTGCCCTATTATATACATCTGATATGTGGCAGCAAGGTCATCAGAGGAAAATCCAATCATTGTATGAGGCGCGAATAGACATCAATGTAATCTTTTGATCCTACAGAACAGTTAATAACGTTAGCATAAGCTGGAAGGGCAGGTGGAAACAAGAGTGACCATATGCAAATAAATTAACAGCCGGTAACTGCAAAAAAATATATCAAACTTCTTGTCAATGTGAACTAGACATAAGATCATGTTTTTTTTTTTTTTTTTGAAATTCCCACATTAGTGATCCTTACACTGCAAATTACAATTCCGATGGATCTCAGGGCTACCTTTTTGTTCCGCAATAAAGTATCCCAAATATAACAAAAAAGGGTACTACCACTTACACGTATCTTAGAATCCAAGACTGGTAAAGTAAAAGTACTGCCAAGAATTGATGCACAGTATGTTTTGCATAATTTTGCACCCAAATTTCTTCCAATTTTTGACTGATTTTTGCAACTTCCTTACTTGGGCTGCCCCTCCAAATTCCATGTACCAGCACCTAAAGCATTATAGCTTCAGGATTGAACACGACCAATACGAAAAGAGAGCAAAGGAGAAATATAGGAAAGGACAACTTGATGAGCATTGATCCTGGTAGAAAGTGTTGCAACAAAACTAACATAAATGATACAGTGAAATACAATCAAAGCTAAGAATGCAATCCCAATAGAATGGCATACCAAGAAACTTTTTTGCTAGGGCCAAATTGGACAAATACAAACTGAAGGATATTGAAACTTGTTGGAGATTTAGGAACCATAAATATATGAACCAAAAAGTGGAAAAGCACATGAATGTTACTAAAGACTTTTCAATTCCAAAGGGAACACAGATTATCCATACATGAATAAATGCATTATTAATTCCCGTAAACATTATTGGTTACATAAACAAAACCATGTTTGGCGCATTCAAGTTTTCCAGTATTTCAGATATAACAAATTAAAGAAGAAAAATAGTTAAAAGGGCTAGACTATATACTAATCTAATTTTGTTACACCAAAAACATTCCTGATGATTACTAGCAC